TGAGAAAATAAACAGATCCTGCATTTGTTCTTTAAAACTACATTTAGAAACCATAGCTGGCACTATCATCGTTGTTTGTTATCTGTGTTATGGTCATGCCAAGAAGCACCAGTTATAGGCCAGGGCCCCATTAAACCAGGAACTATACAAACAGAATAACAAGATGGCCCTGGAAACAGTTTTTATTTATGGGAAGCTAAATTAAAATAAACCTATATCTTTACATTTTTCATACAAATACCTGTTTTTGTGCAAGCACACAAAACTGAACATGTATGATATGCCCACTTTATCCTAGAGCATACTCCCAGCTAGTTGCTCCCATAGAAGAGGATCCAAATCAATAAATGATTTTAGAGAAAAAGTCCATATATGACTTTTGATCCCCATTAACTAAATTGATTTCTGCTGATGTGAAAGTACATAAACCTTTGGATTTTACTAGTGGTCATTTCTTTCGTAAGTCCTTTTGAGGCAGGTTCTCGAAATACTTTCAAAGACAGAATTCAAAATATCATTCATGGAAGACAAATTGTAAAAAAACACAGCAGATTTAGGGTTATTTTCCTATGCCCAATACAGGACACCTAGAGGGGGGCTGCCAGCATTCGGGGCTTTAGCCCCACAGTGTATGTGGGGAGTAAGCCACCAGCATTCAGGGCTTCAACTCTGCAGTGGGGGGTGAAGAGTGAGGGGAGCCACCAGTGCTTGGGGCTCTAGCCCCACAGTGGAGGGTGGGAGGAAATGGGATGGGGGTGGTACCCAGAAGTGGGGGCAACAGAGAAATGGGAACGGAGCTTCAGCCAGCAGTGGGAGCAACAGAGAAAGGGGTTTCTGCCTTGGGGGGGGCACCAGCAGTTGGGGCTTCAGCCCCATATTCTGGAAAGGCTGCCATACTTCCCCCCTTCTTTAGGGTGCGCAGGGAGGAAAGACACTATTACTACCTGGTTACTTTCTATGTTTCTCCCTTGGCACTGTGCCTGACTCCAAATACCACGTGCTGGTGCCTGCTTTACTGCCAGCCACATTTATGAGGTGGCAGCTGCTGCTGCTGCTGCTGCAGGATTGAGTGGGGATCTCAGGGACCATCAGGGGGGTGTGCAAACACAGAACATTTTACCCCATTTAAAAAAAAAAAGTCGGAATGCCTAGAAGGCATCTTAAATACAGGGTAGTCCAGGTAAAAATGGTATGGATTGTCACCTTATCCAGATGTATCCATGTTTTCCTACTCCGAATTAGTCTGAATGGATCTTTGCCAAAATCTCTTTAATTCCTTGTAGATGCTTATATCAAAAATATAAAAGAAAACTTTACCAATAAATACAATCAAAAGTAGACACTCCTAAAATATATTCATGTTTTGGGTCAAAATTTATGATCTTATTTTCATGCAAAAATATTACCAATGACATATATTTATGTATTTATTGTTTGAAAGAAACATCCACAGTAACCCTGATGTCCCAACAGAAGATTATAAGGCACTATGAAGATTAATCAAACAACATATTTTAGAAGAGGTATTCTGGCCCACTTTTGTACCTGCAACCAAAGAATGTCATACAAAACTAAGGAGAAAGGGTATAATCCTCCATTCTGTCAGGCTCAATCCTGTGGCTACTCCATGGTAGTCTATTTTACAGAAACACATTATAATAGCCTGAGAGCTGTCTTAACTTCTGCCTACTCCCTACAGCTCCACCCCCTTTGCTGGTTGTATGGAAGACCAGAGCTGAATAAGTTTCCACAGTAGTTGTACGCCCAATTTGAGGATCCCTGTTACTAAGATGGGCCTTCAGTGACCAAGATTGTGAGTTTTGCAACAGTTTTGCACCAACAATACAACACAAAGCTGCCTTAACACCCTGCCTTAACCTTCAGAACTGAAACAGATGCACACATATTTTTTAAAAAATCAACTCATGTAGTATACACACACACACAATATATCAAGTCTATAGAGACTAGGAGTCTCTGAATTTCTCCCAGAATTTAGGAACATAGGTTCAAACAGACTCTCACTTAGCTAGAGATTACACAAACCATTTGTTAGAAAAGTTTTTTTGTATTGTATTTTATTTTGTAGTAATCAATTAAAATATTTAGTACAAAACTAATATTACCAATTTTGATATTAAGCACAAAGGTATTAATTTTTATTGATCTCCAAATTCCCTGAGTAGAGCACAGAAAATTCAGCTGACACTTTTGGAAATGCATCAGATAATCAACAATTAACTGGTGCAGGGGCAGATATAGGGCAGGGCGAACGGGGCGGCCGCTCTGGGCCCCGTGCTTCAGAAGCCCCGCGCATGCGCCGTGGCACCGCTGCGCATGCATATGGCATCACTGCGCATGCGCCAGGGCAAAGGGGGGGCCCCGCAAAACGGTCATCTGCCCCTGAACTGGTGCTTTGGGTTTTCCTTTCAAAATGCTTCAAAGGAATCTATATCAGGTGTTTGATAGTTATATCTTTGTATAAGGTAGGCTAAGTTCTGAACTATGCTATACTAATGTAATCTATTACACAAAAATAAATACTTTAATGACTTAATTTGAGTTGCTTCAGATTCAGTCAGTTTATCAGGGATCAGCATCTAGTCCAAGTAATTAAAAATTATTCCAAGATTAACACCTATGCAAAATGGACCTAACTGGTGCCAAACCAGAGAATTTGCTGAACCACAAGCAATTAATATTGTCTAGAAACATTACCAACACTTCCACTGCTTACTGGGCTCTTAGAAAACATTTAGTAGTAAATTAGAGCTAAATAACAGCACTGAACACTGGGAGCCAGGACTGCTGGCTGTAAACAAACTTTACAGCATCACAGGAAACATGGTCATACCCAGGCTAAGTGGACTTTCAGCTACCTAAAATCATGCCAGACCAGAGAGTCCTGTACTAGAGAGGTTCAACCTGTAGTATACCTGAAGACACAATTAGATCATACCAATATCTACCTAGCATGCAATTTAAAAGAAAATTTCAATAACTAGTGTTTTCAATTTTTTGCCATAGGTAACCATTTTAAGATGACAAAGAAAGAAGAGGTTACACAATTTTTATAATATGCAATTCTGCAGAAATAGTACCTTGCATTGAAGTTTTGTTAAATTATCAATATTATTGCAGAATTCAGACTAAAATCATCATATAACATGAATGGTTCAATATGCATGGCTCACTTTCATTTCACATATGTTCTGCATTGGTTAATGGCATGCATGTCAATTATAAACATGCATATGTGCGCATTCCTGTGATCCTAATCCCTTTATTTTCATGCTCACAAATCATGCATTAATTACCTGAGACGTTTGAGAACTTTCTTCTTAAAGATATTTATAAAGATTTATTTTCAAAATTTTAAGTACATCAAAAAGATAAAAATAGTTGCATTCTTTAAATCTGTGTTTTTAATAGCATAAACATTTAATTCCAATGTTCTCTAGATAAGGCTCCATATGCAAATCAAATGTTGTTTTAATTAATTAGTATGTTCCTCTTTGCAGGCACAGAATTTTTCCATTACTTTTTCACTAAAAAGATTTTTTTTAAAGAGCTACAAATTAAATTCAGTTTTCTGATAAGTTATTTCTGCACATCATCTGTATGGCCATCTGTTCTTACTACATCAAACTGATTAAGAAAGGATCAATAATTCTGCCAAGAAACAGTATATCCTTTTAAGCAATCGCTATACATGTAAATCTATTTATTATACTTTGCTTCTCATTTTATCAATATCAACATATATAGCCCTTTAAAATATAAAATAAAGTTATTTGCAAATGTTTACTGAAGGAAGACCAGGACTGGAAGTAAAAAGGGATTCTATGTCAGGATTAATGTATAATGAAAGAGCTATAGGTAGCTTGTGCCATTTTATGCTGGTCATATGCTAACCAAGGCTTTCCAAACTGAAACAGCAGGAGAGCTACCAGTCAGGACAAAAGAGTCTTTCCACTGATATCAAAGGGAGCTGAAACAAGTCTTTGCCTGAGGTCTACTTCCAAATAAATGAATGGGAGTGGAAATGGGCTCTCAGGAAGTTTATCCTTGCCCACACTATGCATGGCTTTGGCCAATTGTAACAGCTTCACACTTGAACCCTGAACTTACCAAAATTTCAAACAAAACAAGAACAGAACCACAAAACATCAAGAGCAAGATATTTCATCATTCTTCATATACTATGGAGGACTTATAGTATATCACTACTTGTAGCCACGGAAAATTCTTCAAAATTTGCCACTCAGATAATTTGCTTCAATGGAATACAGTTTTATAATTAAAATGCAAATAAGATAAACAGACATTTTGAAAATCACATATAGCCAGGACACAACAGCCCCTCAACTCCTCCCTCCAAGCTTTCTATTATTTGGACAGCTGAAAATAAGAAGGAGGGATAAGATGCCTAGCATTGTGATCTTTTGAAGCTAAATCCTGATCCTAAAACAAGTGTCACACAACCATATGTACATGTATATGTGTGCATTGCCACCAATATTACATGACTACATGTATGTATTCATAAACTCATTGAATTCCAAGGTTCACCCAAGTTTTGCATGGGTATTCATAATCATTTGGGATGTGCAAAGGAATGAAACAGCCAATCAATATGTGCCTTAGAGATCTCAGAGTAAAAGCAACTAATGCCAAAGGAGTTGTATCTATATGGAAGAAGATGACTTTATTTACAACCTATTTCAGTTTTTTAACCACCAGACTTTTTTCTTTTTAAAAAAGGTTAATATATAAATGGTTACTACTAGTAAAAAGATTTTATTTCCGTTATACCTTTATTGTTCCATTATTTTTGGCAATCAGATAAATATGGATTTATAAATGATTTAGCTGCAGTATT